CCCCCTCCCCCCCCCCCCCCCCCCCGCCGCTGGGCGCCCCCGGCGCGGCGCTCAGCCCCATCGCCGCGCCCAGCATGGGCAACCACCTCAGCCAGTCGCCGGCCTCGCTGTCCAGCCAGGGCTACGGCGCGGCCGGCCTGGGCTTCGGCCCCGTCGATTGCCTCGACTACAAGGACCAGACGGGCTCGTGGAAGCTCAATTTCAACGCCACGGACTGCTTGGATTATAAAGACCAAAGCTCCTGGAAGTTCCAGGTCTTGTGAAGCCGGGGTGGGGGGCGACACCCCATCTCTACCCCCCGCCCCCTCGGCCCCGCTCCGTGCACGGCGTGCGAGCACGGGGCTTGGCGTGAGCCCCCCCCACCCTCCACCTTGCGTCTCCTGGACTCGGGGGAGCGGAGGATGGGGGTGTCCCATCCAGTAGCCCCCCGTTGATGGCTCCCGGCCCCATAGACTCGGGCTGAGACCCGTGGCAATGTAATGCCCCCCGCCCCAGCTTGGGGCAGGGCTCGGATTCACCTGCATCGATGCCCCGGACGGAGGAATCCGCGCCGGGTCCCGCTCTCCCACCCGCGACGTTGAGGGGAGCGGACCCCAGCACCCCCGTCCGGCACCCATGGGACCGGGGCCACCAGACGCTCGGACACCTGGGCTCTCTTCCAGCTCCGGTCTTCTTGCCCCCTTTTGATTTCCGAGCCAGGCCCAAAGGATTTGGGCGCTTTTTTTTCTCCCCCTTAGGGTTCAAACACCAGGGTTTGGGGAGGCTCGTTTGCTTTTAGCGATCTTTATCGGGACCCCGAGCTCCGGAGGAGACGTGCAAACTTGCTGCACGGGTGCGGGGAGGTGGCATGAAATAGTCGGGGCAAGACGAGGCCGGCGGGACGCTCCCGGCTCCGGGAGTGGGGTTTCGGGGCCCTTTTTAGTCCTTCAATCCCCCTTTCCAAGTCCTTCTCGACCGCCTCTTCACCACGTCCCCGCAGCCCAGGTTTGAGGGCTTTTCCCAGGGGGTGGAGAAACAAGGCAGGGGAAGGAGTAATAAATACAGGGCAAAGAAAGGTCCCATCGGAGTAAGGAATCTAATATATATATATTTTTCTCTGTGTGTGTGTGTGCGCGCCCAAAAAGTCCCCGCTTCGACCTACCAAGCCTGCTTGGTCCCTGGAGGTAGAGGCCGTCTTTAGTCTAGTTATGTTCTAGGTAAATTCAAATGTTTCTTTCTTTTCTTTTCTTTTTTTGGCTCTAGCAGACAATGGCGACGCTGGCGGTTTTTTGATGACTTGAGCTATTTATTATTGTTGTTAGGACGGGCAGTTTTGGCCCCCCCCCCCCCCCCCCCCCGCCGCCCTCTAAATAAGCCCAGTTCTCTCAGCCTCTTCTTCTTCTGGTCTGAGGTTTAAAACAAAAAAAGCAAAAAAAAAGAGAGAAAAAGAAAAAACCTTTTAAAAAATCATAATAAAAACCAAGTGAAAAGCAGACATAGGGATCCGGCGTGGGGTTATTTTGGGGAGGGAGTAGGGTGGGGGCGTTGATTCATCAGTGATTTTTGCAGTTGCTAATTGGTGGGTTCAGATGGGTGGGAGCTTAAGTGTGTGTGTGTGTGTGTGTGTACTCGTCTTGCATGCCAGGGTTGTGTGTTTGTGAGTGTGAGACACCTGGGTTCTGCCTGTCTGGGGGTATCTGGGTTGTGCGTGTATCCATCTGGGACACGTGTGTGTGTGTGCGTGTGTATCTGAATGCCTAGGTCCCGTGTGCGTGTGTGTCCCTGTCTCGGACACCCGTGTTCTGCGAGTGTGTTTGCACACCTGGCTGGTGCCAGGGAAAGGCCCCGGCGCTGGGGGCATAGCCCCCTCCAGCACACACATGTCCGCACTGGGAGCCACTGGGACCAGCTGGAGGTGCCCGGGTGCAGGTGAGTGGGGGGAGCTGCCTACAGCTTGGGGGGTGGGGGCTCCTTGCCCCCCGCCCTTTGCTTCTCTTCAAAGCGGGGGTCTTAGCAACGGACAGTGGCTTCACGCCTGGAGTTAATCCGGAGTCACTCCTGTTCCTTCACAGGCCTCAGCTCCTGCCCCTGGGTTGGGGTGGGGCAAGCCCACCTGCCCTAATTGGCCTCCGTTAGCCACCAGTGTTAATTCCCCCCCCTCTTCCAGAGCCAGCTGCCCACAACAAACATGGCCGTCTTGGCTTCAACGCCCCCTGCTTCATGGGACTCCCCCCCGCCCA